ATGGCTAAGCTTCGTCTCTCATACTTTGGACATATTATCAGGAGGGAACAGTTGCTGGGGAAGGATATCATGCTTGGTAAGATGGAGGGTCAGAGAAAAAGAGGAAGACCCCCAACAAGATGGGTTGGCCAGGTGGCAGCATTGATGGACTCAAGTGTGGCAGTGGTAGTAAGGTTGGCCCAGGATCGGACACTGTTTCGTTTTGCTGTGCATGGGGTCGCTATGAGTCAGTTCCGACTCGATGGCACCTGACAACAACAACAACAATGGGAGCCATGGAGGGTGTGTGAACAGGGGAGTGATGACATCAGATTTATGCATTTAAGACGCTCTTGTGGTCATCATGGGGGCCAGGGTGATGGGTCAGAGACAGAGTTCAGCAGAAAGGATTTAGGACCCTGGGCAGGGGCCAATGTGAGGTGTACAGAGGTGTGCAGAGATCAAGAAATCTGATGAAGGGCAAAGTTAATGCCTAGAGTTCATATGTAGGGGACAGATAAGGAGATTGAGAAACAGAATGTGTGCAGTCTCTCTGCCTTCCACACAGGGAGTATGGAGGGACAGCAGGAAACCCAGATCTGGCGCCAGAAGAGAGCTGTTGGGACTGGTTGAAATGAAAACCACTAGAAATGCAGTCTGTTGCCTGTACATAGCTGGTCTTTTCTGTGTTCCTCCCAGGGAGAATGTCACTTGGCTTTCAAATGCGGTGGGGGACTGGGGGAGAGAGATCTGCACTTATGGAGCTTCTGTGTCTTCAGGATACTGGTAGTGACATCCGGGACCACCAGACCAGTTGATCCTGTTTGGATCTGTTTGCCTTCCACACACTGGTGCAATGTTACCATTATTTAGCCAAGTCATCCCTCCAGTGCAGAAAAGCCACTTGTTTTCCTTGGCAACCAGTCAAGTATCTCCTGCCCCAGGGGCTTTGCATATGCTGTTCCTGCTATCTGGGATGTTCTCCTTCCACCCCCCAACTCCCCACCCCCAGTCCCTCCTCTGTGACCTTCACTCCAAATGCCACATTCTCAAAGGGGCCCTGGCCTCTACCCTAACCCTGCTTTTCATTTTTCTGCATGATCCCTGCTATCAAGGATTGATTTGTGTACCCTCCTTCTGGCAAATATGTGCTATAAATGGTAACTCCTATATCTGAGGAGTCATTCCTGGGTTGGTTAAGCACCCAACTACTAGCTGGAAGGTTGGCATTTTGAGCCCACTCAGATGAGACTTGGAAGAAAGGACTGGTAATCGGCTACTGAAAAGTCACAGGTTAGAAAACTCCATGGAGCACCATTCCACTCTGCACACGTGTGGGCACCATAAAGCCGAACCAACTAGACAGAAACCAACAACAACAACAACAACAACGTACCTGTGGATGTGACCTAGTTTTGTTGCTGTTGTGTGCCATGGAGTCAGTTCTGACTCATAGCAACCCTATATAGGGGTTCCGAGGGCAGCTGGTGGATTTGACCTGCCAATCTTTCAGTTACCAGGCCAACATTTACCCTATCGCGCCACATCAGGGCTCATGACCTACTTAGAAAATGTGTGTGTGTGAGTGT